ATATATATATATATATATATATATATATATATATATATATATATATATATACCCTATTAATGGGTACAGTATGACAATTGGATCGTCTGAACAGTGGGTCATTAATGATAATATTTTTTGATGGTGTGTGGTAGGAGGAGCACATCAATAATGTGATTCTGGTGGTAATAAGTACTTTCCGAATTGCATACATTTTATGGTAAAATAGTTAGGCCTATGTTTTATTTATTTATTGATGCCTTTAGAGTTTTTTTACAGAGCAAAATGATTTGCAAACCTTTAACATTTGTACTCGTGGTTATTAAATCGCGCCAATTCACCAAGACATCATACCGATAATCTACACATTTCTATATAAACTTAATAGTGTTACTACATATACTCGATTTTACCTTGCAATGAAACACGTCTGCCAACACGTGCAACAATTATAACATAGATCTACCAAGTATTGATAATATCTGCTGAGTTATTGCATCTCCGATCCTACATGGGCTTCCTCGGTTAACACGCTTAGTGTCGCCTACGTTGGTCTAGCGTGTGCCCTGACAAATTCTATGAGACTCGGAGGCAGCCGCAGCCTGTTCTCGTATGCAACGCTGTGTCTGACGATAAAGCGCGCGCAGTGGCACTTCAGCGAATGATACTGCGCGCTCATTCTGCCATGTATTTCGTCACTCGAATCCACGTTGCCGCGGAAACGCGCCGGGTAAATCCGGCGCCAGAGTTTGTATGGCGTCTCTGCCCGTGCGTTCACCACGTCGACGTGTGCGCCGTGGTTGAACAGCAGCGCGTGCACTATCTGCACGCACCCCTCCCTCTCTGGCGCGTAAACATCGTCTTTGCATGCGAGCATCACCCTACAGAAGCTGTGCCGCGGGGTGTCGCCCTCGCTGTCGCGTGTGTTAACCTGTAGAAGTACGCCGGCGGACTCGCACGTCTGTAGGAGAACTGACCCCGCTTGTACCACTGACGCCGCCTGTAACACTGACTCCGCTTGTTCTGCTGGTGCTGCGTGTGCTCCTCGCTCACTTATTCTGGGGCTTCTCATCTCCGCCTTGCTGCCTATTACAGCGAGCGGCGTCCTCTTGTTACAATCGACGAGGTTCGGGTCAGCTCCGTGTTTCAAGAGGTGAGTAATCATCTGTGTGAACGAAAGAAACGAGGTCATCTTCTAAAACTACAGACCATCCGCTGACCGCTGTGGAGACGTGCGACGGGCCTCGAATTTGGCGCACGTCTCCACTGCGGACAGCGCTTCATACTTGAACATCTCCGCGGTCGCGTGCGCATATCCCGCGGAACTGCGCGTCTCATCCGCGCGCAGCGCTCAGGATCAACAACAAAGCTGTGCCACGCAATCTTGTATCATGTCTCTCTGGATAGTTATCTTATTAGATAGATATCGAACATTGTGTCCGTTATTGCATTTTTGTATTAAAATTGCCTTTGTTCTGGCCTACTGTATAAGCTGTATATTTCGCGGTGGTTGAATTTTCGCGAATATCGCGAACGCGTCCCCGACGCGAACATAACAACACGCAAATAATGAATACCGAATAATTCGTAATTCACCGACCGCAAAATTAACCACTTGCGAAGTCTGAATTCGCTAAAACATCTATGCACGAAAAATATGGCGTATACAGCATTTAAAACATTCTCGACGTTGCTCGTGTAGTAAAAGCGTGGCAGCAAAGAAAAGAGTGGCAGTCCTGCGAAACGCTCGAGGAAGCTGGCTAGCAGATCTCTCGTGGTCACTCTGCTAGACGTGACGGAGAGTGACGAGGAAACCTTCTACTACACTCCGCAGCAGAGCCGACCGCAGCTGATGCGGCTGCAGCACACAGACCTGCCTGTCACGTTCAGTAATGTATCTGATGTTTATGTTTTCTACCACCAGGTGTCAGTAGTAGTACCACTACGGCCATAATGTAATGCAATGCAGAACGAATATTGTCAGCTTCATCTACAATCATCTGCTTATCTATTCACCATAATCATCACCAGATGCATGTTGAACAGCGCAAACACTCGCGTGCGCTTGCCTTCTGAACGACACCGCGCGGTCGAGCGCTCCCGAGCGCACGCGATCAGGCTCCCGAGGCTGTTCGCGCGGCGCGCGAGTTGTTTTCAAGATGGCGACGGGCAATCTAGTGAATGCAAATCTAACACTTCTGACTTCAATTTCATTTTTCATTCATTCACTTCTGAATTCAATTCATATCAATTTCGTCTGCTAATTCGTTTAACAGTATTTGTTCGAAGACATTAAAATCTCACGATAAAATCTGCTGAGGAAGCCGCCATCTTGGTACAAGCGAGCGCTCGGTGCATAGCTCGGTGTCGTTCAAGTGGCGCTGCGTTCGTGCTGCGAGCGATCGCGCTGTTGAACACGCCTCAGAAGATGCTACACTACCTCTCCCCCCAAGCGCCATGTGCCACACAAGCACGTTAAACGCGTATGTCACTCGCCAACCGCCGCTCCTCTGTCATGGTCACCTCAGCGCAGCTACAATTAAGGTTAGGGCAAAGATCAAGCAGGCAGTTAGTGCGTTTTCAAGATGGCGACGGGCAATCTGGTGAATGCGAATCTAACACTTCTGGCTTCAATTTCACTCTGTTTCAACTTCATTTCATTTTTCATTCATTCATTTACTTCTAAATTCAATTCTTATCAATTTCGTCTGCTAATTCGTTTAACAGTACTTGTTCAAAGACATTAAAATCTCACAATGAAATCTGCTGAGGAAACCGCCATCTTGGATAAAGGGAGCGCTTGGTGCATATAGCTCGGTGTCGTTCAAGTGGCGCTGCGTTCGTGCTGCGAGCGTTCGCGCTATTGAACACGCCTCAGAAGATGCTACACTACCCCTCCACCAAGCGCAATGTGCCACACAAGCACGTCAAGCGCGTATGTCACTCGCCAACCGCCGCTCATCTGTCATGGTCACCTCAGCGCAGCTACAATTAAGGTAAGGGCAAAGATCAAGCAGGCAGTGAGTACGTACGTGAGTATTCGCTTGGCTTTGTTATGTTTGATTTGAGTTACATATACACTTCTAGTGCACAATCTATGAAGCACTCACGCAGGAAATGTTTATTTTCATTAAAGAGGGGAGATGTTATGATATATGACCGCCAGATGTGGCGTCGAGAATAACGTGTGTGTCGCGTGGTATGCACGCATGGTGTTGAAGCATTCCAGTTACTCAAAAAAGATATCTGCGTTGAGTCAGGGGCGTAGATAGCGAGGGGGATGGGGGGATGCATCCCCCCGCTTATTGACGTGGGGGGGATGGCGTGTACAATCATCCCCCCCTACTTTCAGGAGGAAAATGGGGGATTCCAAATTTTCTGGGGGAGGACCCGCATACCCCCGCCTGTTTCTTACCACCCTCCTCGAAAACCTGCATTGGCCACTGTCGAGCATTGTTGCACCCCCACTTCAAAAATTGTTCTGCGGCGCCTGTAGAGTACTGCTAACAAAGATTATGATTATGAATATTTGTATGCATATCAAAAGTCAAATTTGAGTTTAACTGACAGGGGCGTAGATAGCAGGGGGATGGGGGTATATCCCCCCACACTTATTGAGGTGGGGTGGCTTTCATCCCCCCCTACTTTCAGGAAGAAACTGGGGAAAAATTTAATATTTTACAGACAATAAATACTGGATATTTATCTACAAATCCGTCATCGCTATTCATACTCTCCTAATGTATTATTACAGAAATGGAACGTGACATATATTTACTGTAAAATGGCTGTAACTCGTTCCAAGAATGACATTATTTTACTGAAACTCAGACGGTTAATTTTAGACGGGTTCCCCATATACGATTTTTTTTTCAAAATCCCCAAAGTCTTATCACTGCTCACGAAAGTTAAATCCTTGCTTTATTCAAAACAAGTGCCGCAGAGCGACAGCGCTCACCTGACGGTAGGTGTTCTGATGCTAAACTCAGGGGCAAACGAATCAAGAGCACCCTCCCATTGTCGCGTTCGCTCTCCCTCGTTGTCTCTCATTCTTTCTCCTTCGCTTTCTCGCTCTTGCTATCTCTTCCCTTCGCGCTCTCTCGCTCTTGCTTGGCGTTGGCGTCGGCGCCGTGTGAGAGCAGCATCTGCACCGCCGCCTCCTCGCCCACCCAAGCCGCCCTCATCAGCGGCGTCTCCCCGCTCTCCGTATCGGCGACGTTGGGGTCTGCGCCGGCCTCCAGTAGCAGGCGCATGATGTCCAGCTGGCCAGAGCAAGCCCGCGACAGGACCGCCTCGTACAGCCTTGATCCGTTGCCAGGGTAACGCGCGCGGGGGCCCGCTCCATTTTCTTTCAGCGCGGTTGCAACATCCGCGCTGGCTGTTTCGCAGGCGAGCATGAGAGGCGTTCGCCCGCGCTCATTCTCCTCTTTCAGCGGCGCGTCATGCAGCAGCAGCTGTTTCACAATCTCCATCTTCTCTTCCGTCCTGTCCCGCGAAAGTGCGCAGGCGACGTGGAGAGGCGTCTCCATTCGTACGTTCACGCACGATGTTTTTGCTCCACCTCGCAGAAGTTCAAACACTTTCTCAACGTCCGCACGTGAACAGGCAGCATGCAGGTCTGACATTCTTCCCCAACTGTAGACACGCACTGTGCGTCTTTCTGTTGCGCGAGGGTCCAGTGCAGTTCACCTACCTAAAATGCACACTGATGTTAACGAAGGCATGTACAGTTGATTGCGATGCTAATATAGTGCATGACAAATCGAAATCAGCTTTGTTCTCCACGTATTTTCTGTAATGCAGTGTCCAACAGATCGCTGAAAAGGGTTATTTCTCTAATAGCACAAAAGCCGAAGTCCAAGGCCAGGAAGCAAATCGGAAAGGGGACAAATAAAGGGATTAAGCCTGGAGGATTGCCAAAGCATGGACACATCCAGTTTAAATATGCCTCTGGACCACCGCTTCCCATTGCTCCACCCGCTTTGCCAAGTGCAACGCGCAACTCCACAGGCACTTGGAACGTCTCAATAAAAAATGTAAATAAACACGAAATGTATTTACTACCAAAGTCTTAATGTTTCTCTACTCTATTTCGCCTATTATTGCCGATAATTACCCGTAAATGCCGGTCAAATGCACATCTGCAACACACAATTAAGTACACCGCACGCACGCA